AAGTTAACTTTCAACGCGCCAATCATTCTGCTGGATTCCTCTAGACTCTGGTGTTCGGCACTCAATGACTGTGAATTTTCGGATAAATGTTGACCGAGGGGTTTAATTAATTTGCTCCAAAAGCGGTTTTCATTGTAGGGTAGGTGCAGTCAGCCCTTGCACGCCACTCGACTTGCAATCCATCGCCGTAAAACTTCCGCACGATTCAATGGCCAAGCCGCGCGCGGCGGTCCAGAACACATGTCCATGAAATCGCTGCATGACGGCTCTCTCAGGGAACTTAGCTCACATAGAATATTTTCATGAAATGAAAACCTCAGTATTGGATGCTACCTTCAATGTCTTGACATTTGAGTGGGAGTGTCCACGGGCATCGCAGTTTGCGCGTTAACGACGTTTGCCAGTCAAAGCAGAGACATAGACTACACGTGCTTGAGAGAGCGCAGGCGGCATAAGAAAAAGTTAACACGCGCCCCTCACCCTTTTCTGATTCAAACGGCACAATCCGCAGATATGTACGTAGTCGCAAAAGCGCTGACAAAGGGTTCCGTGGACACTCCCCTTCCGACGCCGACATATCGGCTGTATATGCAAAAAGGTCTTCTAAAGGTCGGCCGCCGCCAGCAATGGCAACAAGGTCTACGGAGTACAGACCTAAGGGAGCGGTCGAGATTGAAAGATCCGCTGCAGTATATGGCGCAGTGCAAACACCGCTGGGCTGGTCACTTGCTCCGCCGCAACGATGACAGATGGAGTCTCCGCGTCACAGAATGGCTCCCAAGGAACGCAAAACGGCCTCTGGGACGACCACCAACGCGTTGGTCCGACTCGTTTTTGAAATATTTCAGAGAACGCGGTCCACCACATTGGATGCAAGTCGCCAGAAATCGTGCGTTATGGAAGAGCTGTGGTCCCCACTGAAGATCAAGCCAGCTTGAAGGACCATCAAAGTATCAAAGTAACAAAGTAAGTATATGCAGAAAACGCTGGAACTTCACCTCAACCACAATAGACTTTCTCATCAGATCAAAACTGAGAAGTGAAGGAGCGAGCATATTGGGATCCTCGTCCACGTCATTTGTGGTCGCAATCACTAATGGTGAGAACTCGGAAAATCCCTTAATTCAAAAGATCAGAAGTTATCAAGTAAAAATTTTGGTAATGTTCCAAAGAATTTTGCTAGTGTTTGTTGGAAGACCACACCTTCTTGTTTTTCGCTCGAAGTCGTAGATAGTAAGAGGAAAGAGGACTAAGACCGGTAAGGTTGAAGCTCAAGTACCATGACGCCGTTCCGTCATCCTGAATGATTCAATAAATTATTGAATATATTATTGAATAATATTATTAATGAATTATTCTCATCACAAAGGGTAAATCGGCTCCGATTCAAACCTCAATATGCTCCACTCTGGACGTATTTTTGACTTCCACTGTAGAAACATCCTCTTTTCCGAACGTTTCAGTGAACGGATTGACATTTCTGAATTTTGCAGTTTCTTTCAAACAGAGAAGAGCTCCCAAAAGGGTCATAGTCCTCTCGCTGCGGATGCTGGGGAGTGTCAGCAGGGTGGGTTTGGCGCGGTGCCAGCCCGTTTTCCACCAATGGCTGTTGCTTGCTCACTGGTTGTCGCTTCAACAACTGGTAGGTTGGTGCAGTGCCAAACACACCTACTGGCACGCCTCTGCATCCGCGGCGAATGAGACTGTGAGTATCCCTTTTCTCATTACTATTCAGTAATCTACCTGTACTCCACAATAAAACTCTGTTCAAATCCGCCATCAAATCCTGGAACCCAGCCTAAGGATAGGGAATTCGGAGTGGATGACGCCTTTCGAAGGTTCATTGGCACTCGTGGAGGTCCTGCAAAACAACTTGATATGCCATTGGTAACGTATTGATGAAGTGCCTAGTGTACTACAAACTGGATGCAACGCTCAGAAAACGGCGCTCATAACGCCACTGCAGGCTGATTACGTGGGCGGAGATAGTAAACAACTGTGCCTCTCCCATTGATGCGCTGCTGATTTCAATCATCTCAAAGGGGAAAATACCAAGGAAGGCACCATGGCCGACAATGCTCTTTTTTTGTTTTCCCTAACAACGACACACCAGTTAACCATGCTTTCGCCCAAAACTCGAGGGACTTCTGCCTGTTTCTGAGCTAGATCTATCGCGGACGAAAAAAACCTAACAGCTCCCTTGAACCGTGCCTTGGAGTCCGAAGTAAATGGCGACTACAAGGTCAGAAGACGTCTATCCACTTGCCAGCGAAAGCGACAAATCACATATGCGGCCTTTTCATCAAAATTTGATAAATTTAACATGGAACACTGCAATAGTTCGAGTCAGCTAGTTAGGACTTACTCCACTATCTGTATACAGGGGGGGGGGGCCAAAAAAAAGTCATTCCGGCCGAGTCACATATGAGCGAAGTTTTCGCAGCCCAGACAGAGGAAGTGGATATGAGTACGGAAAGATACCCAAGATCTTCCTCTATAAGCAGGAGCTGCCGCCATTCACCTTCATGTACACCAAAATATGAAGTCATCTCCAGTCGCGGCCTGAGTGGAGAACGCCTTTGGAATTCACGTGGCCTCCAAACAGCTGCGGAACTTTGAATGGAATCACCCATGGATAGCTACCTGGAGACCAGTACTCTTGATCTGCAAGACCTCAAACATCGAGCAGCTCCGGCAACGTCGCTACGGTCCAGGACATCATCTTCACCCCATTCACCAAGGCGCGGGTTGATGGTGTGGACCGGCCGTACCTGGAATGGGAAGACCGATATTTTCTTTGTAGACCCCGACTGAAGGTGAGCGCTGGCGGTTACATCAAGTAACTCGAGAAGGATACATGTGGTCGCCCGTACCTTCTTGGAGACCTTGTGCTGCTACAGGTTTGGGTGCCACCACATGGAATCGAAGGGTTTTGGAAAAACTCCCGCCTACTTCGAATGGAAGGGCGTTTCGTACCTGATGAAGATGTAATATTGAAATATGTCCCCTGACCTGAACCCACTCAATTACCTAGTTCGGGCGGAGCTCAACAGGGTGGTCTACAGTGGCGGAGAAATCAAATCAGACGAGCCTCGCTCTCAACTCCGGTACCCACTCACTTTCGCGCGGCCGAATCTCTCGATGGCGCTCCTCCAGAAGGCTGTGGCGGAGTATCGTTATAGTATTTAATGTGCTCTTTAATATGGTAGTAAAAATGTCCGGTAAAAATTTAATAAAGTGTAACTTATAGCGCCTTGAAAGTCATGGAGGCAAAATGACTTTTTTTTTTGGCCCCCCCTGTACATTTCCGCGCATCGTGGATGTTTTACGGCAGTGACTGCAGAAAATGAAGTTAGGGCTATGCAGCTCCCCTTTTATCCCACAAACTAGTTAGCTCTATCCTCCCACTGTGCTTATCAGTAAGGGAAGCCTGCCTAGTCTCACCATCAGACCGCAATCGGTGGAAGGCCCACCAAGCATTTAAATATCTCTGCGATTCCGAATATGGGTCAACTGTCAAGCGGCAAGCGTACTACAAAGGAATTCACCGACACCGGAAACTTTATACGCTACCTTTACCGACTCTCAGGTTACAAATAAGCCTGCAAATATTTACATATCCTATAGGAGGTCAGTGGCATGGACTAATCACCTGTTCGTGTCAATTTAATGATGACTTCCGCTTTATCCATTCCATTCGCAACACGGCACATGTACGGACCGTAGTCACTTTCAGTGGTGTCAGAAATTTGCAGAACATGCTCGTACTCATCGCGATTATAGTGCTGGATAACTTGGAAGGAATATCTGAACAGATTATTACTACAGCGTACAAAGTCATGTCATAAACGTTCATACCTGCCGTTTTCCTCAATCGGCATCGAATTATATACCCATGTGACCGATTTCGGCTCGGGACGAGCCGAAATGATACACCGCAATTGAGCCTGTAACAAATCCACAATCAACTGAAATATTTCTAAATACGTTTATTGTTAATGGGTCAACCGTCGGTCGCGTTTGGTCACTGGGGAGGGGTAGAGTAGTACTTAGCCTAATTAATGACTTTTCGTTGCTTCTATCTACCATTTTGTGCGCCGTGTTAGTCGGCGCTCAATCCCGCCATTTGTAAAAGTTGATTTTCTTAGACGCTACATTATCTGCAATGCTTATGAGCCAAAACGCTTTAAAATCTTGTTAATCAAAGTCTTGTTCCCAGCAGCGTGGCGAAGGTGGCGAAAGGGCGCTGGCGTCACATGTGCGTGGCATTCGCACCAGGATCCAGTCAGGTCAACGTGGAAATGCTGTGATATATCTAGTCAGTACAACAGGAAGCATGGGTGATACTAAGGCGTGTAGGGGACTGAGCCAGCCTGTTCTTCACAGATCCTTGCCGCCTGCCCCGCTTCACCAGTCAGTGGTGGGAACGCTGGCGTCGCTCCAAACCAGCCTTTCTGACACGCCCAGCCTCCGCAGCGAACAAGACTGTAGGTAGGAACTGTTAGCACTTTTCCCGCAAACGCCACCTTTGAATAGTCACTTCCAGATCACGTGCAACTGTATATGCTATTGTAAAGTGGAGCACCGTAAGGCTTAGATAAGGACTTATACAATCCCATGGAAATGCTAGAGCATGCAACGAGGCGTGGGTTGGAGCGCAGCTAGTGCGGTTTTTTTCCACCAATGATGTCGTCGTGATTTCGTGATAATTGGCGAGAGAGGCTGCCTTGGCAGCGCTCCAGTTCACGCCCCTTGACAGGTCCTATCGTTCGCACGGGCCATGGGTGTACTTCATGAACTGACCATTCTGTTACTCAAGAGCAATATTACTTCTTCATAGCCTTCAAAGATATAACTGACTGACCATGGTCCCAATATCTGCAGCAGCTAAACCTTCTTCCGGGAATCGTTGGTTCAGAACGACAGGTCCATGATTGACGCGCATAACCGTCCATGAAGTATTGTCCACAGTTTTCTGATCAGCACCATTTGTTGCTCGACATGAGTAGTTTCCTTTGTCTGCCCATTTCAAGGGTTTGGAGAAGAGTAAAGTGCTGGTGACGGTTTGTGAACAGTAGTCACCCGATGAGCAACTGAAATTAAAGAAATTTTACACGATCCGCTTTTCAGACAAAGTCCTGCAGACAGTACACCACGAACAGCAAGACGTTGCAATGAAAAACGATATAACCTCGATTTAACGATAACACTTTCAATTGTGTAGCGTTTCGTGTCGATCGGTTCCCCATCCTTGAACCACTGGAAACTCGGTGCAGGGAATCCCTTCGCCTCACATTCCAGTCCGCCTGCCGGATGATCCAGCTTCAATATCCTTTCCTTCGTTAAATGCCGAGATATCCAGGCTGGTTCAATTACCTGCAAGAAATTGCTTGCAAAATTTAATTACGGCACAGCCTGTGAGAAAAGCTCAAACCAAACAGGACGGCACTATTCCCCCTTCTGTTGACCCACACTGCGTAATTCAGGCCCGCTTTCTTTGCCAGGCTCCTTTGACGAAGTTCTGCGTCCTGGAAACTGATATCATATCTACTTTCCCCGAGACCGTTTGAAGCTCGCGACACGGATGCCGGCGTCAGAGCACCGCGAAAAGCCGAATTTGCCGAATGTTGGTCCGTTCTGAACCCGAAGGCGCCAAAACTGGCCTGTAGCGCGGATGTCAGCAATTTTCTCTTGAAGCGAGTGCCACATTTGTGCTCACCGGGTCAGAGCGGGTTCGGGGACAAAGAAATGGCCAAATGCAGCTTCGGTAAAAAAAGTTTGAAAACGTGGTATTAATTTTCAGGAGTGGAGCAGTAAACGGTAAACAGGGTAAACAGCACCAAGAGGACTGATCCCTCACGAAAGGACAGCAAGAACGATAGAGCTCTCTGAAATTATTTCAGCGTCGCCAGTCGGTGATGGGCGACTTCAGTATTTCGAAGGTAATTAATTGTAATTCAAAGCAATGCTCCGAAAACAGCTCAAATGACATAACCGTTCTAAATCATGCTCAGAACATGAGAATTTGTCGGATGTTATATACACAACCGGCGAGAGCAGCAAAAAATTGTTGAAAACGGCGTCACGTAGGCGTCATTCCCACCAGGAACTATTCGATTTGACGTGGAAACGCTGCGATATATCGCGTCAGTTAAACAGGAAAACTGCTAATTTGTGGACGTGTGAATGTAACTTTCCACATAGAAGCAGGCAGCTGGGAAGAAGCTTCATCCTCCTCGTGTAACCATGGGTTGAAAAAAGTGAAGGCTAATGGCCAGAACCGAGAGATGCCATAAGTCTCTGCCTGTCAATCTTAGGGAGAAATGAGTATGCAGATGTCAAATTTTTCACAGAAATACTGTAAACCATAAGCACATGGTGCAGTCTCACATACTTTTACGTTTTTTTTCCATTGGGAGTCGGGCAATTACGCGCTTCGTCCGGGACATGGTGCAATCTCACACATGTTTACAGTTTTTTTTGTTCAATTGAGACTGGCAATCACGTCCTTAATCCCCGGGACCTTTCCGAATTCTACACCCAGTACGGCTCGAAAACACTATCACTCAACGTACCACTTAGTCATGAAGTTCTGTGCTATTCCCACAGTTGTAAAACCGAAAACTCAGTGGGAATATTCGAGATTCTATATTTACCAGTTTGGCTGACGCTTACTTTTGCGCGCATGGTTCATTCCATGGGTGTAACGCGAGTTATGAATTTGGGACCTTCCCCTTTCAAGGCCTCTTGTCAGCCCTTGTCAGTTGTTATCTCCTGCCACACACCAATGTTGTTCACGTCCAGCCCCTTATGTCACTTCTTGGAATCAACGTTACACCGTTGCTGTGACGCTAGTTATGAATTTGGTGACTCTCCCCTTAAGGCCCTTGTCAGTCAGCCCTTGCCAGCTGTTATTTTTTCGGTTGGAGCTCTCCACGACCGATTTCAAGGAAGTTAAGAATTTCCGGTCAAACACACACATACCACGACCGATTTCAAGGAAGTTAAGAAATAAGAATATAGTAGGAATATATTGGCGAATTATATATGGTAGGTTAAAAAACTTACAGTAACGTCTACAACAGCCTCCTTCCCCTCACCATGGATATTGTCGGCACGACAGCGATACCGGCCGTTGTCGGCCAGTTGAGCATTTCTGACAGTCAGCTGCGCGTGGTCATGCTCTCTTGTGCCGAAAATGCCACCAGATGATGGAGAAGCCCACTGAAATAAAAGAAGGGTGGTAAAAAGTCAAAATGAAAAACAGCTAGGAAAAAGCGGGGCTATTCGGCTGGGCTGTGAAGATCTGAGCCGTAGCAGTTCATGGTTCTAGAGCTATACGCTGATAATGAAAGGAGTTGAATCAATGTGCCTCTACAGAAGATGGGAAACGTACTGGTAGGGGGACGGGCGTTGGTCGGCTCATCTGGGGCGCGTTCAGGGGATCAGAAACTCAGCCACTACGAAACAAATTGTCGGGAACCGTTCAGGGTGGCCACGGCTCGTACCCTTTCCCTGAAAAAGTTTGGGGCTATCACCCTCTCCTCCAAAAGAGAGACAAGACAATCGTAAATTGCCGCGCTGTCGCGCGCCGAGTGTCGTGCGGCGGTGCGCGACGAATTCTTGATCTGGTTCAGCTAATCGACTGGAGCAACCAAACCCATGGGAACTCGAGGAGAAGCAAGACTTCCTGATGATATCGATCTTTTCCGTAACATTAGCGTTCAAACCAACGCCTGGCCAGAAAAACTCGCGCCTCGCAAGCGTGACGTACCTCGCTACCTCCAGCGCGGCATATTTAAATTGTCTTGTCACATACCCTCTGCTCCCTGACATAGAGAACAAATAAAGCAGGTGAAGCCTGTGAGGTGAGGACAGATTCCAACTGTTTCATTTCTTTGGAAGTGTTTGAAGCGGACGATTCAGGCGGATACAAAGAGATTCTCGCGTAATTTCAGGAAAAAAATTCAAATCGTTACAGTATCCCTGAGCCGATGTTTCACGAACGTCTTGTTGGGGATAACGCGCTCGATTCGCCGTCTAATGCCGGTAAGGCTACTGCACTTCGAATGCCGGTTGCTGAATAACTGGGCGAGCGAATTGAGGACGATGCTCCATTAACTTCCTGTAATGACCCTCACCGGGTTCTGTGGACGATGACCCCAGATATAACCCGTTCGAAAATTAGTGTCTTCTTCGTGGAGTTCCTGTGTGGGGTATTTCTTTCCACCTAATTCAAATTTCAGCGTCAAATTTACGGGGGTATAATAGATGTGGTAACAGGAATCGCCGTAAATTCGCGAAGAAAGGGTAAAAAAAGAAACCTTGAAGCTGCCAGCAGGACTTCCAGGATCATGTGTGGAACATGTTAGAGTAATTGTTCCACCAACGTTCACATTTAGCCTCGGTGGAGATATATCAGCATGCCCTGGAGGTCGTTGTACC